ATGCATGCGTGTGGTTGTAACGTAGTCCCCGTAGTGGTGTTCAAGACGTTCTCTCTGTGGATGCTCGATCTCGTTCGCTCTGCGGTGTTTAAGCAGGGCTGAGCACGAGGACCATGGCAACGGCAGTGGGTGTTATATCTCTGGGTCGCGTGTTTGTGGCACGCATGATGCCCTTGGTGGCATGTCGCGTCGTCTGAAACTTTTCCGACTCGGTAAGACAAATTTGAAGGACACGCCATGAGGACGCTCGCGTGTTGAACCAGCTTACAACGGCTGGGGTCGCTTAACGTTTTGGGGACCGACCAAGATCTGCCCTTCACAGCGCTTAGAAATTGAAGGCTTCTTGTTATGGCGTCAAATGGAACGAGTTGGAAGCAAGCGGCAGCTGTGATCGAAACATACCCGGCAAATAGTCTACTTCCTCTGTGTCATGAGTCTGGTCTGTTAGGTTTATACGCCGCCTTAACGGTGTCCGATCTGTTTTTCGTTCTTTTTGTTGAATTCTACGGCGTTTTTTGAGCAAGAAAGCATTTTTTTTTTAAAGCTGGTGCTTGAACCATGCGACTAAATGGCCGGAAAACTTTGAGTCGGCCCAACAACGGCCATATTTTGCCCTTTTCCGGGGGGTGGGGTACGTGGGGCATTGAGCCTAACCCCTCCCCCAAAAACCAAGAACTATCCCCAACCCTCAAGCTAACCCCGCCTATACTTAGCCATCCACAATACGTCCCCCATACTAAAACCATATTGATAGTGACCCACACACTAAATTCAAGACATTTGGGGTGCNCTTTTCCGGGGGGTGGGGTACGTGGGGCATTGAGCCTAACCCCTCCCCCAAAAACCAAGAACTATCCCCAACCCTCAAGCTAACCCCGCCTATACTTAGCCATCCACAATACGTCCCCCATACTAAAACCATATTGATAGTGACCCACACACTAAATTCAAGACATTTGGGGTGCACACTAAAACCAAGACACTTGCGGGGCAAAAAAACAACAGAGTAGGGCCCGAATCCCCCCCCCCCTCTACTCAGCGACCCACATCGCGCCCCCCTATACTCAAAGCAGTATAATAGTGGCCCCACACTAAAACTAAGACACTTGGGGGTTCCACACTGAAACCAAGACACTTGCGGGCAGAAAAAGTGTCTGTTGGTGTCGGTGGGCCCAGCGGACCCTTGGGTATCCGTAGTTGGCCCGGCGGAATAGCCAGCGCAGCCTCCACTATAATTGCAATGCGGCGGCCCACTGAAAGCTCGCCGGCCTTGGGGCGATGTGGCGGGGTACTTGGGGGCGTATCCATCGTTTGCATAGTGTGGGGGGGGTGGTAATCACGACTGATCTCACGAATTCTGAAAAAATTCTCAAACAAAATCTCGAAACAGGCCAAAATGGGCATATTTTGACCTAATTTTAGTATATAACACGGTCTTCGATTTTTTTTTTTTTGTCAGCTTTGCATATGTCTTACCTTTCTAACGCACCCAGCCAAAGGCGAAACGTCAACGTGTAAGTATCTTTACTACTACACGCGCATAACAGACCAGACTTATGATACAGAGGAAGTATTTAGTTTATGTGGGCACCACATGTCAGTATATAAGGCTTGGGGCACCTTGTCTCGTGTCGGGCAAATGCCCTTTTTACAGTGGCGTCAGCGGCAGCATGCTAACCTGGATATGTCGAACTTCTGGGTTCGAATCCGGGTATGTGAACATTGTTTTTTTGTCCGCCGCCAGCCGGTCGGGTTCCGGTTACCGTACATGCCACGGGGGGTGCGTCGTGGTACCCGCGTATTTGTCTGCGATGCTGAGCTGTCCGCTCGCTCGTATCCGGGGGGGTATGTGGGCACCACATGTCAGTATATATAAGGCTTGGGGCACCTTATCTCGTGTCGGGCAAACACCCTTTATACATTTAGTTTTACTTCATTTTTTGTCTTTACGTCGAATCAACGCTCACAGCAATAGTGCCGTTTTCTCCATCCCGTGGTCACACAGAAGAGCCCCTCCTTCCCCTACCCTCCTGCGGTACGTTGGCTTCGATATTGAATTCGAGAAGAGTTCAGCACTCTCTTCCCTCTGTGTACACAAGACCTTGCGCTATCCAGTAGGCCAGGAGCGGAAGCGAGAGAAAAACTCACTTTGCAAGAAAAGCTCGCTTACGCGGGATTCGAACCCCTGACCTGACCTCTAGAAGGTTTCGGGGATACCAACTAGACCACGGGGGCGACTAGACCTATGCTGCGGAAAAACAAAAATCACGTGTACACCGTAAACCTCTTCAAGTGATAACTAACCGCTCCTACCGAAGAGCAACATCAAACAGCAACGCCAATAACGAACCCTGGAAAGATAGCTACGCCTTGGGCGATCAGCGGAGTGAAAAATGGGCCCGCCTCAATCCGCACCAATATCGAAATTTGGCATGTACGTGGTATGTATGTACTGGTGTTTCGGCAACTTGCCACGCGTTAGAAAAAATGTTCGGACACCAAAATGTAGCTGAGCTGGAACTTGGCCCCAAGGACTGTTGTCCCTTGTCGCAACGCACCGCTTCACAAAGTCGGGTCTACGTTAGTACACAAAATACAAGAAGCCCTTTTGTGCCACAGCAAAGAAACGCAAGGCAGGCTCCACGAGGAAATCGTGTGAGCAACGGGTGTCCATATGGGAACCACAAACGAAGGTATGCAAAGGTCAGGCAAGAATTGCTCGAACCACACCTCCAACGTACATTATCATACAACAAGAATCTGTCTGCAACTCCCGCACACATGGAGTGATTCCCCCCCGACACATACACACACGCTTGTGCGCGCCTTCAAGCACGAAAGCAGCAGTCAGACCGACACCAGGAGTGATTTCAGTTTTCCAATATCTGTATACGAAGTATGAGAAGGTATTCTATGGATGAGCTCGATACGCTTGATGCTTGATTCGAAGGTGGCAGCAAAGCTCCCTTTGTGAAGGTCCGCATGCGTCTTTTAGAAAGGTAGCTGGCTTGCAGTAATCTACGACAAAGAATTACCGTCAACGCACCATTTTGGCAAAATTATTCCAAACCGTTAATATGCACTCTCGTGCCAGGCATTAACACAAATACTCCGGAGTACGCTCCATGTTCGAAGGCCACAAGGCGTGTCTCTACGTCCGTTTTTTTTTTGTTGCGGGGATCCCATGCATTCACAGCAACCCTCTCTAGCTAGTAGCCCGTGTGTGCGTTGGACCCCACTACCCACCGCACCTCCTCGCATACGAAAAATACGGGGTCCGGCAAGCTCAACCCATTGTGTGAACAAGAGCGGTGCCGCAATCAACACTCTACATGGGCGCTGCCCATATGCAATTGCAGTACATGATAGTGACATGGTAGTGATGGCGTTTGGGGAAACACGTTGCTTTGCACCGCCGAGGGTTGCTTAACCACGGCTGTCCGCCGCAAGGGATGACCGCTGCTGATCCCGCCGCCGGTGCCGCAACGGCTGAAAGCACGAGAAGATGCCATACCACGCACTTCTTGACCTCGGCTCTCTGCGGAGCAACGGCTGCTGTTGCTGCTGCTGCAGGGGGTTGTGGTTTATGGTGAGGACGACGACGGCGGTTGCGGCAACGCCGCCTTAACCCTGGCGATCTCGTCCAGCTCGTCCTGCACGAAACCGGCGTTCTCCAGCCCCCTCACCATGTACGCGTACACGGGAGTCACGGCGAGCAAAGCCCAGGACGTGAAGATCCACGCGAAAACTGGGAGCACATAAGGGTTTCGTAGAATGCGAGCAGTCGCGGAGGCGGGGCCAAACGGGGATAAGCGGTACAAAATGAGTTAAAATTAAAGCACGTTATCTTCTTCACGTACGTAACAGATGGAGGAGATTCGAGGGGAGAGGCGCGGTAGTTCAGGCACTGTAAAAGAGTTGCCAATTGTTTGGGGGGTTCCGTGCGGATGGGGATGGGGTGGTCTGTGCGATGGAAACAACCTCGTAACAGTGTGAATTTGGCGAATGGACATCACACCACTGGTAATAAAACGAATGTACGGGGGGGGTTCGAAACCACGTGTGGAGCAACGACTCCATAAAATATTGAGTAAAAACGTCGCCGGAAGACCGCAGCCCCGGCGTTTCTGCAGTATTATTTATTGATCACATCGCAGGCCTCTGCCCCGGCGGAAAAATGCATGAGGATTCGCACACTCCACAGAGAAAAAGAGGTATCCTAAACGCGCCACCATTCGGAGGACCAAGGCGGTCTAGAGGCAGGCCAGCAGGCCACGCCAGACTCGTTTCCTGGGAAGCGCCAATAACTGGAGTGTGTCTGACGAACACAATGCTAGCTAACCCTTGAGAGAAACATCTCGAACATTGTTGTTCTCGGAGGTGGAAGGTACGTGTCATGGCAGTTCTGCTTGTACGCACGGCGGTTGAAGGCTACCTTAAGAGCAGTACTGTTTTGTACAATGGCAGTTTTGTCTGTATGCCGTTTCTTCCCTTGATCAACGAGTCGGACCCTGGTCTGCGCAGGACGCGTGTGTGCGACGAATATGTCTGCTTTCGTTCCGTGCTTGGTCCCGTCACGGCCCCACAATGCTGGCTTATCTCTGGTGAAGAGGAACCACTTGTTTCCTGCACGAAAAACGGCTGAAAACACGTCTTCTGCCAAGAAGCATGAGGACATTCATCCGTAGCATACCTCGTGCTGAAACGCCGAGCTTCCCGTCTCACCGGGAATAGTTCCGAAGAAGAGTCGAATGCCCAAGCTGTAGTACTGATGAGCGTGGTTGAAGACCTTCACCATGAGGGACTGGGGCATCGGCGCTCCCGCAATCTCTGGAGCACAAAAATTCCACCGCAACCACCGTCACCAATAGCAGCAGCAGCAGCGGCAAAACCAAGACAAAATACGGAGGGAGGAAAAGCGATGAGGCGCTCATCTTTCAGGGTGCAACACGGCAACCAAGCCGTCTCAGCACTCGAAGCAAAACTTGAAAAACACGATACCGTCCACAAGAAAAAGGCCCGTCAGCACTGTGCAAGGGGCACGGACGTCCCAGCACCACCTTGCCTTCTTCGCCGCAATCGAGAAACGATTGACGCCACAAGGGAATATCAACAGCACAAAAATGAACCACGGGCACGCTCTCGGGACCAACCTCGCGCAACTTTTTTTCCATGCATCTTGGCTTCACGCAAACGACGATAAGAAAGTGAGACAGGCCGAGGCTACAGCAACACAAGCAACAGAGGCATAGATGAGGCGAGATTTTTCACGTTGGAGGACCCCGCCCCCCACGTTTCAACACTGCTGTCGCCCAGGATCTCCGCCACACCTTTACAGCCGCCACTACAAGCTTGCGCAAAAAAACCAAGACCACACGTGCACGCCAACGACAACGAAGGCGCGACCAAGAAATACACGCCCATCATAAACGATTTCTTGGGACACATCGTTCCTTCTTTTATGAGACACCCATGGCGTTGATGCCAATTCCCACTACATGGTACCGCCAAGTCACCGAACGCACCACTATCCCCCCTTCATGCAAAAAAAAAAATCACCATCCACCGATATTTATAGATACAGCAGCCGCTTTTGGCCTCCCTCACTCACTCTTTGTGTTAATGCAAAAGCTGAAGTGGACGGCGTAGCGAGTGCACTGCGTGAAGACGAAGAAGATGGTCATGAGCAGCGCCGCCAGGACGCCGAGCTTGATGACGAACAGCCAGTCGTCGGCGCTGCAAGACTTGTCTCCGTCGGAGCAGTCCGTGTAGATCGACCCTGATTGGTCGGTCGGCCGGAAACGATTTTCATGTTCGGCGTGCGGATAGATGCCAAGCGATTCATACACCTGGTTCGGGGGGGCTGTCATTGTGTCTCTGTATCCGTCGAACCGGACTGCTGCACTCGTGGTGGGGTGCGCAAGGTGCAAGACCCAGCCGCGCATATCTCCGTAGACAACGGGTGGCTGGTCCGTTCGCCCGAACAAGCCCTCGTGCCTCAACCTGGGCTTGGCTCGATCCCTTTTCCGTCTCTCTATTTTTCCCGCCGATTTTTTCGCCGCCTCGTACCTGCGTACCCCACGACGAACGTTGTGAGGAGGATGGCGGTGTTGGCAAAGAATAAGGCGGCTCGTATGTAGTCCCTCGTCGTGTTCACCGCCGCTTGTCCCTTCATGTAGTTGTCCTGCCGGGCAGAAGGAAACAGCATCAACAACAACAACAACAACAACAAATGCAGCGACAAATAGAACGAAGAAGAAATAGGCGCGGTGCGGAACGTTCTGGTCAGAGGGTGCCAATCAGCAGTAAAGTAGCTCGATGCCACACACTCTCGCCATTTGGTGGCGGGAGTTGTGCTGAGGCGAAAGGAGAGCAAGACCACCATGCACATGTACACACACACAAGTGAGTTCGGGTTTTCTTTCTAACAGTGAGATTTGCGAATTCAATGGTTCAGCCGGTTAGAGTCGTCGCGAAACTGTTTTACAAATATCCGCACAACTTGAAGGGAGATCGAAGAGTACGTCGCGTGTTCGCGTCATTGATAACGCGATATGCACAAGACTGGCGTATTTCACTGGGTGGCCGGTTGGGGCAGACGATACTATAGCAATGCAGAAACACAAACACACTGGGCGTCTTTTCATCGGTGAGCCGGTTAGCGCCATCGATGCTAACATGAAAGACATGCACACAAAGGGCCGATTCTGGCCGTGTGGCATTTCATGAACGACCTGTCCAACATTAGTCTGGCACAATCGAACGATCCGCCTACATATGCATCAGGGCCATCCTACAGACACACAAACACTCGAGCTGTGCACGATGTGCCACCATATGTTGCAGCAGCCGCAAAAGAACAAACGCCATTCTGACTTTCCAGCAACAACCTGGAGGGAAACCAAATGCTGCTCTCAACACCGACCGGATGAGGTTCGTACGGCACCCTTGTTCGTGACCCTCATGGCGGTGGCGGCCATCTCTTGATTGGAAGGCTATTACCTCCCGGAGGCCCTCCGCCCCCTCTTTGTCTGCGGTGCATACCTTTACCTATTTCGCGATGCGGTCCCATCATCACAAACCAAAACCATACAAATCCTGGCCACGTCATATCAGATGCAATACCTTCACTACCCACACGACATCCAATAATTATGCGGTATCATAGTGCACGGGTTCCCTTTCCTACCCCACCCCATAGCACCATACCGTAATATACCGTACCGTACCATACCATACCATACCATACCATACCAAGGCGAAGCACAGCAACGCACCCAACTCCATCAGCACGCGAACGATGGACACAACAACACACACCGCCATACGAATAGGGAGTATTTCCCAAAAAACGACAATCAAGGAAGTGCATGTCTACCTTCTGCCGGCACCCTGTTGCCGCAGCATGAAGGTACAGCAGTGACAGCCACCAACAGGACTCACCACGACCCATCCTGCCCGTACGTCCCGAAATAGTGCCCTCGCTTTAGCACGCTCGGGCTTGTGAGGGCCACAAAATTCCCAGCCCTGAAAGGCGGCGCAAACCGTAAAACAGACTGCAGGGATCACCACCTGTCAGCAAGCAGTTTTGGGGGTCACGCGAGTGGGCACAACACGATAAAAAAAATGGTGGTACTTGTTAGGCTGATTCTTGTACGCCTGGATTCCTGGATTCCTGGATTCCTTTCCCAAAAAGCTTCACTTTTCAGGATGGGCAGAAATCCGACTTCTTAAGCTGATTCTGTTACACACCTGGATTCCCTTCCCAAAAAAACTCACTTCAGGCGGAGTCTTTCGGCGTGATTATTTCGGAGTTTTTTTTTTCTCCCGGTCGGGGGAGGGTGGCCTGCACGGCAAAAATTATCAAGATCCAAACGACCGTCTTACGGTTCCTCGAGGTATGTTTTGTTTCTGAAGAGAAAAAAGAGTCTGATTCATGTTCTCGTGAGTCAAAACATGCTTCAGTACACGATTTTGGCTCATGCGCGACCAACAATCACCGAGCGCCCTGTTTATGGGTCGCCTGCAGAGGGCATGTGTATCATCGCACGCCAGTGGCTGCAGTTTGTGGATGTCGTCCGCCAAAGGCCTTTCTCTGATGGCATGCGTTGTACACTGATCACACTTGACTCGGAGCAAGCGGCAGAACAAAAAAGCAACGTCCAAAAAAGGCAACACCGAACCACACCTCGATTTACGTTTGCAAGCCGTGTGCAATCAAAACTGGGCAATACATTCTGCTTCTGGGACGCGAGCAGAGGGTATATGAATGACCACAAGCCACTGGCTGCTGTTTGCGGATATCGTCGGCCAAAGGACTCTCGCTGGCATGCGTTTTTGACTGGTCGCGGGTGTCACACGGAGCAAACACGCGGCGGAGTAAGAAAAAATACCAAAAAGTCAACACCGCAACACACTTTGGTTCACGTTTGCAGGCCGTGTGCAATCAAAACTGGACAATACGCTCTGTTTCTGGTACGCAAGCAGAGGGTATGAGTATGACCACATGCCATTGGCTGCAGTTTGTGGATGTCGACGGCTTGAGGCCTCTCTCTGGCATGCGTTTTGAACTGGTCACACATGCAGCTGGCGCAGAAACGGCTCTGTTCGGCCCAAAGGCAAGAACGTCAGCAGAGCAATGTGGCAGGGTTGACGTTTTCGGCTCGTGGCCAACACGACGCAGAACGCCCTGAATTTTAGATACCTGCAGAGGGTTCGTGCATGGCCTCATGATACTGGCCTCTGTTTGGCCAGCAGACGGTGTAGTTCCTCGTTCTGGCACGATCGGGGTGTGACCGGGGGGTACCCCCCCCCCTATTTCTAACAGCGATATTCCAACAGGATCGCTGTTGGAAAATGGGCCAATTTTCTAACAGGACGGCCGGAATCGCTGTTGGAAACTGCGCTGTTGGATTTTGGGCTGATGGAAAATGCAATTTTCCCACCCGTAAGACGCCCAAATTATTTTTTTGCTCAGAAAAGGACCCCCCCCCCAAATCCAATCCGAAAATAATCACACCGTAAGACTCAGCCTCAGGATCGGCAAACATCCGGCTGGAAAAATTCCGGCCGTTCCTACAGCAGTGAGCCGGATTCCTGAGCCGGATTCTTCGGGGTTGGGTGCAGATCAACCCAGACGACAATATCATCGAGTGCAACCTGAGTCCTTGACGTATCGCTCCCATCAAGGTCTCCCAGCAACCCTACGCCGAAGGGCTTGCTATTCTGCACGCTGGCTGTTGATGGTCGCTAGGCACGCGTGCGTAAAAAATATATATCGCATTACACCAAGCGTGTGTGTGTGTGTGCTTTCGTCCTATTTATTATGGCGATAGTCCCCCCATTTTTCGTTGTGAGACGTGGACTACACTTTTCAGCGTATGTAGAGTACTACACTTTGCAGTGTATGTTTTCGTACAACTAAAACCATCCAGGGCCACACAGGAAGTATTAAACACCGGAGCTTTTTTCTTCTTTTTATTTCTTTTCATGCCCCACCTTCCTCCTGCGGTGCGTGCTGAATTTATTTTTATCGCGAGAAGGGTCCAGCCGTCCGTTGCCCTCGTCAACGGCGCAAACGTCGAAGTTTGGTACTCACGAGAGCTTTTTAGCTACATTTCGCTTTCAACCGCAAATTTCGTAAATTTTTCACCCCATGGGGATACGAACTCACGACCTCTGCGACTAGCGGATTACGAAGATACCACTAGACCATTCAAGCGTAGGAGACGCCGAGACAGGCCAAACCGCCACGAGACAGCAAAAAGAGCCGCTTTTTGTCAGCGAGAGGAGGACACCGCAACTGATTTCTCGCTCCCTAGGCCACCGATCGAAGCCAGACCGGTCAGGGCGTGCTCTCTGTTCCTTGCTCTCTGCCGGAGTACAGCGAGGAAGTAGACTGGATACAACAGCACCCGCGGAAAAATTGACTAGACACTCCCTTCTTCCCCTCGCTCCTCGACGAGCTTTTGCTTAGACATGGGTTGTAGTGAAGGGGGGG